ATCTCAGCAGTCTTTCGACTTCTGACTTGATCTTCAACAAGATCTCTGGTGCAAAATGCCTTAGAGTTTGCTTGATAGGCTTTTTTCCAGACTTTGTTGGTAGTTGAAGCTCTACGAATTATCTGTCGAGACCAGGCATTTCTTCATAATCCCATGCAAAGCAGTCTTTTAACTCCTTCAACAATTGGATTATTTAGATCCTGAGCTTTGGATTTATCTTCGCACTGATGTATGCTAGTCTTTTCACCAAACCTTCGCCCAGGTCTATTTCTTCTAGAGGATCTTGCGCTAGCATTTTAACACTATTTTCCAACAGATCCTTTTCAAAACCCAAAGGCTCATCATCATAGATGGCATCTAGCCTCTGGTTTTTCATTTCTTCCCCTTTCGAGTCAGGTGGTTCTGATTTGGAGTCTTTCCCAGGACCTTCTGGAAGAAACACTTGCTCATTGGCTTCAAGAGCCATATACTTGACTTCAACCTCTAAGGACGTTATCATTCTACTTTCGGCTACATATGCCGAAATCTTTTGTAAAGCTTGTGATTCAGTCATCATCACTGAATTCACTTCCCCAGCCTATTGGTCGCATGTCATCAACTCCTCCATAGTCAATGTTTGATAAATCTTCTTTATCCCACTAGAACCCATGGTCGGAATGCGGGTAGAGGGAGCAAAAGGCATTTGGTGCTGGTGAAAAATCAAAGTAGGGAGGATTGCATGGCCCTATGTGAGCCAAGCTTCTGTCGAAACTGTTTTTTCCAACATTGTTAACTTCACCAAAGTAATAACTTTTGTCAGCTTCGATATTCTCCATTATGCCATCGGTGCGCCAAATTGTAACCCGTTGATGCATCAAAGATGGCATTGCACCTATTCCATGTATCCATTCTCTACCTAAGAGTAAATTATAGTTGGGCTTCGCTGAAATGACCATGAACATAGTTGGTTGAAGTATTGTTCCCACCCTGAGGTCTAATTGTATCACACCCATAGTAGTTCCAATACCTCCCTCATAGTTCGATAGAACCATGTTGTGGGGTTTTATATCTCCATCTCCCTTACCCATTTTCCTCAGCATAGATTGGGGAATTATATTTATTGTAGCCCCACAATCAACCAAAATCATGTTGATGGTTATCCCCCCTATCTTTGCCCTTATGAACAAGGGTTTGAGGTGATTTTTCATCGCCTCAGTAGGTGGCTCTAAGAAAGCATTTTTCTCTTTGACGCAACCATTGTTCATCACATAATAACACACTGGCCTATGTTTGGACATTTCCTGTTCGACCTCCCAGTCAGTCTCTTCAATTTCGACTTGGCGACCGTACTCCCTGGGTAGTACTGATATTACATTCACCATAATATCTAGAGTAACATCAGATTCAGAATTACCCTCTTCATTTGATTCACCTTGTTCTGGCCAAACCAATCTTCTAGCAATTGGTTTCCTTTCCAAAGGCTTTCTTTGTTTGCCTTTTTCCTTTCTTTGTGGAACATTGGTGCTTGATTCTGGTTGAGGCTCCTCTGTAGCCTCCCTTTCGACTTTTCGCCGTCTTTGATATCTTCTCCACTGGGAGCGAGACATGGGTTTTTTTCCCTTGTAGTTTCTCAACACATGAGCCACTTTTCTTGTTGTTGTAGTTTGGAACTCTTTCCTATATGCCAAGGATGATCCTCTTGGCACATCGAATGTTTGCCATTTCTCCTTACTGGGCCTTTTTCTGTTTGTTGTTTTCCGCCAAGTGTCCACGGGGACATTTATTAGAGGCCTGAAAGTTGATGGCCTCTTCGCCTGGTTCATTGGTCCTTTCTGATATCCTCTTCTGGGATCATATCTAACCTCAGAATCCATGTTGGGTTGGGCATTGGTGGCCCATTTCTCCTTTGCTGCCCTTACGCCCTATATGTGTTCTGCAACCTTTTTGTCAAAGATGGAGCTGCATCTTGGTCCTGTTTGAGTTATTGTTAATGTTGGTGCCAAACCAACGGTTGACGATATAGTTTCACTAACAGTTGGTATAACCGTTGTTCCCGTAGTAATTGGTGGAGGTATTTCTCCATTATTTGGCTGATTAGCCATTTCACTTTCACTATTTCTCCTCCTAGTTGTACACTCATTGGTGGTTAATTTACCACTTCTTAATAGCATACAACACTTTGTAAAAGAAAAGAAATTATGCAAAGCATTTATGTTAATATAAACAAGCAAAAATAATTAGCAAGGTCCCACCAGGTGTGCCAATTTGTTTGCCGTGTTGATTGGTAAACAACCGCTGATCTTCCAAAAAGGGTAATTTTTTGGTTACTCGCAGGATCGATCAGTTTGATCCTAGGACATATGCTAATTATTGGCGTTGTTTGGATATAAATGCTAATATAAATAAAGAACACACGTTCGACTGAGAAAGGTTGAGGTTTGAGATGAGTTTGAGTGTAGAAAGTAAGTAGAAAAGGGGTTGAGAAGAGTTTAAGTGCAGAAATCTGGTAAAAAGTGCAAGTAAAATGCAAGGGAAAATAGATTTTTGCAAGTAAGATAAAAAGGCAAGGAATGTAAAAGACTTTGATTATAAAATGTGGTGTTTCAAACGTACATTTTCAGTATTATTTCTCACGCGGCGGGTACTCGAATAGTATTGAATGACTTGTACAGTTAGTTGAACACCCGAAAATCTACATAAACTTCCTATATTTATACCAGAACTAGGTAACCGTTGAGGAGTTGCTTTTCTATAGGATGAGGACAAGTGTCTTCTTCATATACTTCGACCTTTATCTTCATGCCACGTTACTTTCCTCAACTGCCAAGCGAACTGCTTTTCCCTCCTTTCTTCAGATTCAAAATCACTTGTTGCTGATACGAGGTTTCCTTTTAGTCGAAGGCCATGGAGGCCTTTCAGTCGAAGGCTGCAAGAACCTTTTGGTCAAAGATTAACTTTAACTTAGAAATTTCTCTAAGTATTTTCCCATCTGTCGAAGTATTTCCAACTTAGATTTGTTCAATCTATTTTTGGCCCATAACGCCAATATGTTGTGGGTGTCAAATTTAGGAGCTAACAACTGGTAGCTTTCGACTCAAAAAGTTACCCACATGAGCACATTATTGCCATCAACACTTAAAGGGTGATTATTGATGTGAACAAAAGAGTATAGATACCTCAGACCCTCAATCTTCTCTATCGATATTTAAGAAGCACGTGTCTTATAGAACTTTAAGTTGTCTTTACTGCCATTAACACTCAGATAGTGATCATTGACATGAACGACCCTCTTAAATGTAAGCTCCTCTAAGGCACGTTGAAGGAGGCAACATTACTCTAATACATAAACTTCCAAAGGTTCTCCAATAAAATTTATCGCGGCCTTTCTAGAAAGTTAATCTACCATAAGCAGCTTCTTCACTCTTCTTAGCCAAAGCAACCCTCATTTTCTTCATATTTTCTTCCTTCAAAGACAACGCATCATGTAAACCACCAATCTCACTATCACGACCCCTAAGTTGGATCTTCAATTCCTCTATCTGTTTAGTCTGGGAAACTAAACTAGTCGTCGCCTCTTTCATCTCCTCTTCAAGCCTTTCATACTTCTTGTGAGCGGCCTCAATTTCACGAAGATATGGTTCCTCTCTTGCCATCCGGTCTTCTAGCTTGTGTGTCTGCTCAAACAACCTCTTAAGAAGCCTTGTAGATTCCAACGCACTATAACTGTTAAAACTAGGTCTGGTGTGATTTCGAAGAATATGCTTTATAAACTCAAGGGTATTTCTGTCAAGATTGTGATTTTGTGGCTGAGTATTGTTGAGGTTTCTTGTGACGGTGAGAATATTGGTTTTTCTGTTGGTATTACTTTTACGAGTTTTTGGGCAGAGAATTTCCTTGAATACCCTTAGTGTGGATGTGGATCATTGAAGTTTTATGTTGAAGATTGTAGATCTATCTCTTCTTTTTTTTGTGTGTTAAAGGTTTAATGGTACATATAGTGTTATGATTGGTTGGTTGTAAAATAGTGATGTTAGAATTTGAGGTTTTTCTAATCTTTTAGGGATTTAGGGTTTTTCTAATTTTTAAAAATTTGCTTTTCTGTAATTAGAATTCATCTCTAAAATGTAGCGATGAAAATGAAAGAGGAAAGATGAAGAAATTCGCAGATGAAGAAGAAGGAAGATGAAGAAGAGGAAGAAGAAGAAAAAGATGAAGAAGAAAAAGTAGATGGAGAAGAGGGAAGATGAAGAAGATGAAGAAATTATGAATCTATCAAAAATATATTGAAATAAAAAAAAAATCAATGTGACATTTATAAAAAATATAACAAATAAAAAATTAAAACTACGTCATTTAAAAAATATAAAAATTAAAATTAAAAAAACATATATTCCATGCCACGTCAAAAAATTTGATTGTGTATCATGAGAGACTAAAATAAGAGAATCTGTAAAAGGTAGGGAGAGAATCTAAATTTTTTTTACAGAATTTTTTTTAAAACTCGCAATATAACACAAAACAATATAATTATTAACCTTTTATTGAATTACATAAGTGTATAGTTTAATTGAATAATAATTATATATACTTTATATAAATGATTTATATTATAAGATTTATTAAAATATTAATCATGAGAATTAGTACATAACTTAACTTCCTAATTATCCACTTAATTGTGAAATACATACACTTTCATGACTTCAAAATATGTTCAGGGGTTAGTCTAAAACTTAACTTACATACTCACATTTCCATCGATAGAGAGAGATTGAATTTCATACTATTTTTTTGATAAAATAAGAGTGTCTAAATTACAAATGTTTTAGTCTGTATTAGGGACATCTTAATTCCAAACTACCCTATAAAAGTTTTTTCAAATTTTGTAAAGGCGACTCTTCATCACACTAGGGTACGAAAGCAACCCCAAACTTGGACTAAGTTGGGCTAAAAGTGGCCCATTACATCCACACACACACAAAAACAGTGCATTACGCATCACAACTCCGGAAGCTCCACCAATGGCGACTCTAACTCCAATTTGTTCCCTAGCAACAAAATCGATTTTGAGTAACCAACAAAAACAACACAACCACCACGCCACTAATCTCAATTTCACAAACCGAAATCATAACTCAAGAAATTCAAACACAATAATCCGATTAGCCTCTACCTCCAACCAGAACCAGTCCTCTCCGGGATTATACTCCGCCAAGATATTCGACCTCACCGCTTCAAACGTCGACCTCGTTCTCGAAGATGTTCGACCATACCTCATCTCTGACGGAGGAAACGTCGACGTTGTATCCGTCGAAAACGGCGTCGTTTCTCTTAAGCTGCAAGGAGCTTGCGAAAGTTGTCCTAGCTCAACCACAACGATGAAGATGGGAATTGAACGCGTTCTTAAGGAAAAATTCGGAGATTCCATTAAAGATATCGTTCAGGTTTTCGATGATGATCAATCAAAGGAAACAACCGTTGAGGTTGTTAATTTTCCTTTTTTTTCTTTGCATTATAATATAATTGGATATGAATTATGATTTGTTACGGTTTCGTTGTGGATTTTAGGCAACCTTGATTATTAGTATTATTTAATATAATTGGATGTGAATTATGAGTTGTTATGGGTTGGTTATGTATTTCAGGCGGTGAATAATCATTTGGAGATATTGAGACCGGCGATAAAGAATTTTGGTGGTAGTGTGGAGGTGTTATCGGTTGAAGGTGGTGATTGTGTTGTGGAGTATTTTGGACCTGAGTCAATTGGATCAGGAGTTAAAGCTGCAATCAAGGAGAAGTTTCCAGATATTCTCAGTGTTACATTCTCCACCTAGGCTTCAATGCAATGCATCCTCGTTCTTCATTTATTTGAAGATTTGATTCGTTGTAAATTAGTTGATTGAACTGTGATTTTAATTAGGCCTTCCTTTTAAATATGGAGTAGTTGGATTGGATGTATATGCATAAGCATGAGGCCATTCTTCTGATAAACTTAAACCTGTACTGATAAACTTAAACCTGTACTATCATGTAAGCAGTTACGTTATATTCTTTCAAGTAAGATTGTCTTTATGTTCATTCATTTGTTTTACTGTATCATTGTGTAGGGAATTACTTGCCTCTCTTCAGGCTCTTTTAAGTTTGTAGGAGGGAATGTTGTAAATCATTGAATCCAGCAATTTCAATGGTTCATATTTGATGGAATTTGACTTATTTCTGGTCTCAACAATCATGTTCTTATATTGAATTCATCATTGATAGAAAACATGAAAGAGGAAAAAGCATATTACCATAGACACCACTATGGCCAACAAGACTCATTTCCGAAGCCAATCAAACAACTCCAAGTGCAAGTTCATCTGAAATGGATAGTTGGAAAATTTAAACCTAGTTAAGCTACCTAAATTACATCTGTAAAGTTTGGCCTTCCAAAGAGTAAGGTAAAGAGTTAGTCACAAGTCTAGTTTAAAAAAAAAATAGTCCTCGGATTTTCTTTATTATAGAAGACATACTAAAAGTAATCAGAAAAATAACTGAATTACTCATGCTGAACGCAAGACTACTTGTTTGCAAGGTGAAGAATGTGCAGGAGAATTTCACATTGTTTACATGATGTGATTGTTACTTCATCCTTCAAAATCTTGAGTGAAACTTTTCATGAGTAAACCCTTCCTTAATAGTAATGTGTAGAACAAATTTCTGTTCAAAATCTTGAGAAAACTTATCATGACCCCAATATGGGACCTTCCACACTAAACTTGTTTAGTGAGCTCTAAATTCAAGGATAGAGGGCCTTCTGAGAAACTAGAAGGAGAAGAAGAGAGACTAAATTCTCACTGATATTCATGTAGCCCCGATACAAGGCATATATAGCAGCTAGCCTTACTACAGAAATGTGTGATATAAATGATCAACAGAATTCATAACAAACTAGCTGAGTCATACTTCTTTTAGATTATATAACATTCAAGCTATACTTGTTGCTGACATAGTAATCAGACTATCTCTTTGGTTGAGTGCTGTTCCTCTTTGGCCCATTACTCTCTCCTGGACCAAACACTGTAACTGTTGGGTTTGCTACTTTGCTATTAGGCGAGCTGAGGTGCCACCAATGGGTGACTTGTAACAAGACCATTCATCAAACTTGCAAAAACAAACATTGAGTTGTGGCCAGTATACTTGCACAAGTTACAACTGCTATAAAACATAGATTCAAGTGTCTTATAAGAAAAATAACAAATGAAGTAGTCATATTTTCCAAAATTCCATCTATATATGTAAATATATAAGAGGAAAAAAATTACCCTGTATCATTTCTTTGATGGCTAAGGCTTTATGAGTAATTGCATATGCTTGGGGTTTACGATTGGCTTACACTTGTAGGCTTTCGTATAATCATCCTCATACAGGGGAGCTTTCAGATTAACCTCTACATTTGTCTGAATTGCACAGTTTTTCTCACACGAGGCTAAACATACTGAGGGAGATCACTCAACCCAACTAATTGCGTTCTGCTTTTTTATTCCTTTCTCGTTCATTCTGTCCCTCAAATCATTCACACTGCTCCACATTCCTTTCTCACCTTGGATTTTTGTAAGCATCGAGTAAGAAACAGGATGATTGCTCTCCAATCTGCGAATCCTCTCAGCCGCATACTGTCCAAGTTCCAAATTTGAATGCAGGCCACAAGCTGCAAGTAGTGCACCCCACAACACCAAATCAGGCTCAAATGGCATATTCTTGATTAACTTTTCTGCTTCGTCGAATTTCCCTGCTCTTCCATATAGGTCCACCATGCAACTATAATGCTCCATCTCTGCTTGTATTCCATACTTGGTCAGCATATCTGCAAAGTGCTTTTCGCCCTCTTCAACAAGACCAGCATGCACACACGCTGACAACACATTCACAAATGTAACTTCATCAGGTGTTACGCCCACAATTTTCATCCTATCAAACTCCTCCAGTGCTCGTGCAGCTAGCCCATGGTTTGCATAACCTCCAATTATTGCATTCCATGATACCAAATTCTTATCTGTAATGGACTCAAAAACACAAAATGCTGCATCCATATCCCCACATTTTGCATACATATCAACCAGCGAGGTCAACCAAATAACATCATTTCGTATCCCAGACTTAACAATACACAGGTGAGCCTGCAGCCCCATCAGAAGAGAGGAACAACCTGCACACGCATCCAATACACTTGAAAACGTGAAATGATTGGGACGGGTTTCAGTCTTAAACATAAGAACATAAAGCTTCAATGCATGCATAAACCTCTTGTTTTGCACATACCCACTAATCATTACCGTCCAAGAAACCACATTTCTCTCCTTCATTTTGTCAAAAATATACCGTGCTTTGTTAACTTGCTTGTTCTTGACGTAACCATTCACCAAAGTAGTCCAAGAAATTATATTTCTTTGAGGCATTATATCAAACGTTGTCTGAGCATCAACCGTTCTTCCCAATTCCATATAACTAGAAACCAAAGCATTCCACGATGTAACATCTTTCATCAATATATCATCAAACGCTTTACTCAAAGCTTCTTCCTCTCTTAAACCCGCATAAGCTCTAATCAAAGAAGACCCAACAAACACATTCAAGTTAAGTCCCAAACGAAACGCCAAACCATGAACTTGATTGACCAAAACATCCATCTCAGTACTAACAACTGCTCTGAGCAACGTAGAGACAGTGTAGTCATTCGGGACTACACCAGCTCTTCCCATTTGCAAGAAACAGCTGTACAGCCCCTCTGAGTTTCTGGTTCTATGAAAACCAGACAACATGATGTTCCATGAAACTGCGTCTTTGAGAGGCATTTTATCGAACAGGTTACGAGCGAGTCCGATTTGATTGTGCTGCACATAAGCAGTCATGATCATGTTCCAGGAAACAATGTTGCAGGATAAAGGGTTCTCGTCCAACAGTTTGTGAGCTTGTTTTACGTTGTTGTCGTTAATGTGAACATTAATCATGTAATTCAAGTGTGGTGTTGTCATAGTACACATATTGCGGGAACATGGTGCTTGCAACCACGATTTCTTGAGGACACGCATTATAAGAATAAATTACTTTAAAAACAGCATGGGTGCACTAATCACAGTGCAAGCCTCCTCAAGAAGCTGAAGGTTTCATATATGTCTCATACATAGCATTGGAATGGTTGGGGTGTAGAGAGACTAATTTCTACTAAGGCGTGTATAAAGAAAATTTTAAATATTTTCAAGTCCTTGAAAAATTACATTTTTTAAGTTTTTTTTTTACTGAGTTACGTCTTTTTAAATTTTAGTCCCTTCATTAATTTTTTTTCCTTGGTGGCGGACAGTTCCTTCATTAGTTTTAGTTTATATTTATATTAATTTTTGCCACAAATAAATATTTTTAGTTCTTAGAACTTAATTTCTAAAATTATATATAATAATTAAATAAAAATTGGTTAATAGAAATCAAACTTCAATTAATAAAAAGATATAATTGACTTTTACTATATTTTTTAAAATTGTTTGAGTTTCGGTGCTTAAATAAACATAAATTAGTTTGGAAACAAAGTTGACTTCTAGTGAGTGTCAAAGAAAATCAAATTTCCTTAAATATATATTCAAATAGAATATAAGACAGGTCTGGGAGATGAATATTGATCTGGAATGGACTTACACTTGCTTCCAGGTTGAGAGGTCCAATCCAACATCGTTGTATATGGTTCAAAAGCAAACAGCCTGAGCTAGGGACCGTTGGGCAACTCCTCATGCATCCATTGGAGAACGTGGTCCACGTGCCCACAACACCATCATCTTAATTGTCCTCCGGAAATCACTGATTCATCCCCTATTCTCACGGAACAGTTGACCAGGGGGAGTTCACTTGCTGAATTCCATACATACGTAAGCCCTGGCAGTCTTTATTATTGGGCCTCAATATGGTCCAATGATGGGGACCTTGGCTCAGCGCTAGGGGCTATAAATACCCTCTCATTCGAGAGGGACAGGTATTCATTCTCATTCTCATAGTCACACTTGCTTGCACTCTCTTTGAAATTTACTTTGGCATCTGAGTGTCTTGCAGGCCACATCTCGCTTTCAACTTCAGCTTGATGTAAGGCTTTGACGATTCACTCTGGTCAGGTACGATCAGTGGCGCCGCCTGTGGGAAACTAGCTTCCCCGTCTTCATTTAACTAAGACAAAAGTAACTCTGAATTCTCGATCGCCATGGCCGACCCAGCTGCCAACAACATCTTGGACGCCCATCTCGCCGACTCCAACAACCATGTCGTCGAACACATGGGCAACAACAACAACGGGAACGACGGCGACATGGCCGATCTCATGCAGAATTACAGAGACAGCATGACTGCCTCTTCCTCATCGCACACTCGACCGCAGGATGGCACCCATCTGCCTCAGAATTACGAGTCAAACGCTTTCTAGGAAGTCCTCGTCCCCCCGGGCGCTGATGCCACGACTCGGGCCCTGTTCGCAACAATTAACTAGACGAATTACCTAATCTTCGTACAAGGTGGGTGGCTAAGGGTGCTCGAAGACTCTCGTCGAGCCCCCATAAGACATAGAAGGCCTGACACACCTCCTCCTCGTCAGAATGAAGACCGTCTTCAATCTCCCCCGCGGAGACACAGACGGGACAGGTCGCGAAGCCCCCCTCCTCCTTGTCAGGATGAAGACCGTCTTCAATCTCTCCCGCGAAGACACAGACGGGACAGGTCGCAGAGCCTCTCTCTCCAACGAACTGGTAGACGCCCCGAGCTGGAGATAACCATGCCCGAGATAAAAATCGTCTTCAAACTACCATGTTGTTATACGTAACTATAACAGAGAAAATGATCATGATTTCACTTATGCAACTATACCCTTATTCTTGCACAATAGATGGCCATCCCAGCCGGAACACTCGAGATAACGGCGTTAGCGGCCGCGGTTGACAACTATGACACAAGCACCTATCAATTTAATGATTCAATTTAATGATATGATTTCCATAATATCACTTAACTTTTAGTTGCTTTTTATTCTAATAAAACAAAATTTAATTAAAGGGCAGTTTGAATAATGCAAAAGGAATCAGAATTACAGTTAGACCGGTACTCCGTTGGTTCTTTAAATGTCACTTTTTAGAAGAAAAAAAATTTAAATGTCATTTCAAAATTCATAGTTTTTTCAAAATTATCAAAGAGAAAAAGGTTAAATAAATTGCTAAAAAATTAAGGGTTCTATAGATAAAAAAAATTAGTTTAAAATAACATCAATTATTAATTATCTTAAGATATGTAAAAAAAAAATCAAAAAATAACACTTAAAAGATAACAGAGGTAGTATCAATTTTCTAAAAAGGGTTATACTAACATACTAAAATTATAAAAACTTATTTGTAATAAAATCATATTTAAAATTTCATTAAATTGAATTATTCCGAAAAAAATATTTCTGCAAATAGTATCCACGTGTTAGCTTTTGCCTTCTAAAAATCCGGCTAATGGCTAATTCATCAGGTTAAATCAAGGACCTCCCAATTCACCGGTTGGTTCAAGTCTGGTTACAATCTAATCTCATTTGGTTCAACTAGTTCCTTTTTTTTTTTGGATTATTTACTTTTACTTTTAAAATATTTATCTTTTTATACTCAGGTACATGTACAACCATATTTATTTGTGCTTTAATCTTGAACCAACTGAACAATGACTCAGAGGTTTCACCAGTTCAATTTTAAGTCCTAATATTATAACAGACTAATATGCAGCATCAAAACATCCAAGTGCTTGAGTGCTGCTTTCCACAACATTCACAATTCTCATTATGCTTTTAAATAGTTGCTACAGAAAGTGAAAAAGCTTTCGCTAAGAAAGTAAACATGAATTGCACTACTATATTTCTGATACAATAAATATTGTTTTCTGATGATAAAAACTTACATCTAAATATTCATAAGATTGATATCAATGCAACCCTAAAAAGGAATTATACAGATTGAAACACCTTTCCACATTGCACCTGACAGATAACATGGAAAACTTTAAATTGAAGAAACAAGTCCTATGAAGTTGTTGAAAAAAGAGAGAATTATATTACAGAAGCATACACAAATGATAGGCAGATATTACATTAGAAATAAATATGATGCTTAACAAGTCCTACTAGTTAGTCGCTTTAAAAAGAAAATCCTACTAGTGCAGTCTGTGCCATATTTAAGCTCTTACTGGAGGAATTATAGATCCGAAGCCTTTTGTTTTCTAGGTCTTTTATGGGCCGCTGTAGGTGGAGCTCCATGTGCCTAAATAAGTAACAATTCCGAGACTAATAATCAATAATAGTACCTTAAGAAATTGGTCCAAAAGTAAATGTAAAACAAATCAGAGAGTGACTAGACAAAACACTTTGCGTACCTTGCGTTTTTGGTCCTTTTTGCTAACCCTTTCGCTTGAAACTACAGTTTTATGGATATATTTAATAATAAGTAGATGATCCATTTTATTTTATAGAATATTAGATAGCAGGTGCAAACAAAATTAATACTAGTATATATTACCTCCAAAATTCAAAGAGTCAGGAATAAATGTGCGATCCTGATCCCCACCAAAAAGCAAGCGTGTCAGTAGTTTCCAAATCGCAAGCCTAAAACAAAAGAGGGGAAATACGAGTTTCTGACCTTTGGTGTGCCTGGTGTTTCACCATAGGACCCATCGCGGAAAGATGAACCTTCAGCCTCTTTATATTGCACCTGCAACATATATCATAACAAGTAAATAAATCAGAGAAATTGGGGGTGCCAAAACAAGTCAGTGTAAATGTTGCTAACTCTAAACAATCATAGATTAGCCAGGCATATTGCAACAGTTTAATAACTAGCAGTCACTACCCCATAAAGCAACTGCCTCATAACTAGCAGGAATTTTCCTATAACTGATAACATAGTTTTTCCTTTCGTGCAGGGACAAAAAGATTTATAAGCGTGCAGGAATTTAGACAGTCACTATAAAAGTTACAATAAAAATAAGAGGTCTGACACTATTGTATACTGATATACCTGTTTCTGGAGATTCAGCCAAGTTAGTATTTCTCTTCTTAGTTCAAGATGCTCTGCGCAAACAGCTTTGGTCGGAACCCTTGGTTTCAAACTGATCTGGAATCATAGAACCAAATTCAAAGAAAATGCATCATGAACCCAAATATATAGTCAAACTCGACTCATTACAAACATTTTAGTTTGGATTTGACATATATCTGTCTTAATATAATATTTTCATACCTAATTTGCGAGTATTAAAAAAGGTGATTAATTTGGTTAATAGCTATAAAATTGTCAACAATCTGAGAAAGAAAGAAATATGTAAATTGCGTTAAAAGTTAAAGTAGTTCAGACAAACCCCAAGATCTTGCAATGTTTGCTCAACCCGTTTGATAGTCCGAAGTCCAGCAGATGAGTTTGAAGCTTGCACCATTTGATCAAGTGCATATGTCCTCAAATATACTCGAAGCTGAAATATTTCTCACAATCAGATAATGCTATAAAGTATGAGAATTTTGATAAACTGTGCAAATTGCCTCTCATTAAAAAAAAATTGTTATTTGAAATATTTTGATCAATGCAAGATCAAATTTTTGAAAGTGAGTATCCTAGTTCATGCCAATGCCACAAAACAAAGTTTTAAGTTAGCTTGTCTATAGCCTACACAACTTTCTTCTTTTCTCAAGGTTAGGGACTAGCTATGTGATGCAGTATTAGACAAAAATCATTAAGAATGATTTTTATTTCAATCGTTTATAATTTGACATGATTAGCAAAAGAACATTATGGTATTGTTTGGTTTATGTGAGCAACCCCATATATTGCGAAAAGGCTATTGTTTTCGTAGAATCCTTGTTAATTTCCCCTGGGTACAGAGGCAGGAGTGGGAATGTAAATGGAGAAAATGCGGGATACATGAATTGGAAACCTTCTACAAACTTACCATACGAAGAGAAGCTAGAGTAGAAGCATTGTCTGCCAACGAAGGAACAACCATTGGTGGAAGTTGCACATTTGATGGTGATATAGTCTCACCAGGG